CCATTCTGCCATACTCCGAATCAGAAACTAACACTTAGAATCATAGAATACTTTAGGTTGGAATACTTTATTTTTGGTGCTGGGTTCCCTCCAAAGGTCTGCCAGCTGACCTGCCCCATGGCACTCTGACAGGTACCTGAGATGGTAACAAGAAACAGACCCAAGAGCTGGCCAAGATTCTGTAGCACGCTGCCTCAGACCCAGAAAATCAGAAGACCCAGCAAGCCATAGAATCATTTAGGTTGGAAGGGACCTCCAAGATCATCAAGTCCAACCATCAAGCCAACACTCTGCTAAAACAGAATCAGTATCTGTCAGGGCTGGAAGGGACCACAAGGATCCCCCAGTTCCAACCCCTCTGCCATGAGCAGGGACACCTCCCACTAGATCAGGCTGCCCAGAGCCTCCTCCAGCCTGGCCTTAAAGACCCCCAGGGATGGGGCCTCAACCCCCTCCCTGGGCAACCCATTCCAGGGTCTCACCACTCTCATGGGGAAGAACTTCTTCCTCACATCCAGCCTGAATCTGCCCACTGCCAGCTTTGCCCCATTCCCCCCAGTCCTGTCATTACCCCATATCCTAAAAAGTCCCTCCCCAGCTTTCTTGTAGCCCCCCTAAGATACTGGAAGGCCACAATAAGGTCACCTCGGAGCCTTCTCTTCTCCAGACTGAACAGCCCCAACTCTCTCAGCCTGTCCTCACAGCAGAGCTGCTCCAGCCCTCGGATCATTCTCGTGGCCCTTCTCTGGACACTTAAAAGTCATGGTGATGACTATTTAAAGTGTGAAGATTCAAAACACAAGAAAGATGTGGGGTGCAGTGGGTAACAGACCTACAGAACTTCTTGCCTAAAGGTGTTACAGCTGCTGGAAATTACTCTGGGATAAACCAGAGATGGACATGGAAGAGAAATCCCTTGAGGTTTACTGAAAGAAAAAAGCCAAAAATTCCCAGTTTGGCTCTTGACTCATCATTTAAACCAGTGCAAACTGTAATCAACATGAATTGTGAACTTCATCTTAGCTCCATGATTCAAAAGCCCACTGCTGTGACCACTCCACAGGCTTGCTGGAGATTTCTTGGATTGCCTGTGTCCTAACAGAGCTGCTTACTGCTGCATGGGGGAGATCCCACCACCAGCTCTTTACTAGAAGCTGGAGAGGCACCACAATTTCATCACAAATGGGGGTTTTAGATGAAAAGCAGAACAAATCCTTCCAGCAGAGCACCTGAAAGGAAACTGGGTCAATTTGTCTGTTATGGTTAAGCAATTGTTAAGCACTAAATTGCTCACCAGTTGAATTTGATGGGAGTGAAGTGGGCTTTGCAATTTAAGCACCCAATTAACTGCTTTACTCAAAATAGGCCTTCCACTGGGAAGCCCAGGAGAAAACTCCTCTGACAGGGGCTTGGATGAGCAGTTCCCAGAGTGACACACACTTAGATCTCAGCACTGACTTACTACCCACTTACTTTGTTGGGGGAGGACACTAATTTCCAGCCCCCCAGTTTATCCACTGGCATTCCAGATCTTGAAGTAAGGAGGGAATTGCATCGTGCCCCAGGGCCCTTGGGCTCCTGTGTCTTAAAAGCTCTAAAAACCATCCAAATTAGATGTCTCATGTTTCCTCACAGTCCGAAACCTACTCCACAGAGACCCAAATTTTGAATCTTTCTTGGAAAAGCTAAGATAAGCAATGACCAACCCAAAGAAATCATGACAGGGTCACCAAATAGCTATTTTTACACAGGACCCCTGCAGGTAGAGCAGGATTCCCTGGAGAGGTCCCTGCTTTAGGTCATATCCACTCCACAGGAGAGTGTGAACCAAAGAAAAAGAATCATATTCGTACTAGAAATATTTACTTGTTTCATTTAGCCTGTCCACACTTTTCCAGCTGGGTAATGCAGAGAGCTTGTGGTCCTTCTGTTTCCCAAATTGTCCCTTCTGCTGCCTCCAAAGAGCCTCAGTCACAGATGATGCAGGGTCTGCTCCTCTGCTGGGTGGATCTTCGCTAGCCAGGGAGAATGCAGACTGAGACCTCTGCAGGAATAAAAATCAAACAGAAGGAATTAAAACCAGAAATACTTAATTATCAAACTCTTTATTGTCATTGGCATGGGTATTCAGCTGTCCATGGAAGTGTGGGATCTGCCAGCAGCCAGAGATGGAGCTCAGTGTGTTCCACAGCACTGTTTCATTGCTTATTTATGTGCATTCCTGATGCCATGCAAGGAGGCAGGAAATTATGTATCCTACCCCAGAGCAGATCCTCCCACAGATCAGACATTTCAGCTTTGACTTAGGTGCTGGGGTCAGTTACAGAAGTCACATTTACAGTTCCACCAGGGGAGGTTGAGGTTGGACACAAGGAAAAACACCTTCCCCTGGAGGGTTGCCCAGGGCTGTGCCAGGCTGCCCAGGGCAGTGGTGGAGTCCCCACCCCTGGAGGGGTTTCCAAGCTGTGGAGATGTGGGGTGAGGGACACGGGGCAGTGGGGACCTGGCAGGGCTGGGGGAATGTTAGACTAGTTGATCTTAAAGGTCTCTTCCAACCAAAATGACTCTATGATTGACAAAGACCTGAGAGGTCAAGAATGTCCTTCCTTCCCAGCTAAAGCTCCTAGCACCTTTTCCAACCAGAAGTTCTGATTCCTCAGCCAAACCCCCTGTCAGGGAGGTGCTGTTTGAGATGTGTTTATCTGTGGTGAATTACAAGGCTGCCCTCTTTGCAGTCGGACGTGGAGCTGCTGCAACCCTTGGCTCCTGCAGTGAGTGAGAACATCAGCAGATGGCATCGCAACCCAACAGCTCATCTGCTCTGCCCCCTGCACAGGCTCCTGGGGGCCCTGTGCTCCGTGGCAGCTCGCTGGGCAGCCCAGCACCCATGAAGTTTGCAGTAAATCAGTTGTTAGGTACTTGGACAGGAATCACAGAACCGTTCTGGTTGGGAGAAACCCTAGAAGGGTAGAGGAAGGAGGTGAGTTGGTGTTTTCATCTCGAGTCTAATTGCAGCCTCACACAAACTCATTTCTTTGTTTTTTTCCCCAAGAGAATACTCTTTACTGAACACAGTTATTCCTTTCTCAATAATTTCTCAGTTGCTCAGTGCCCTCAGCAACTTTTCACGTCCTGTTCTGACCCTCATCTGAAGTTGTGCTCAGCAGAGTGCTCCCCAGCAGAGAGAATTGCTCTACCTCCTACTCAAACACCCACCCGACAGAGGAAGCCTCAAGAGTTCTGTGTTTATTTGCTCCTCACTGTGACAATACACACCCTGATTCCATCTAAAAATAAAGTCAGATCTCTCAGGCAGCCTAGCTCTGAGCATCACAGGGTTTAAGTTAGACCTTAAAGCTTTGTGAGACCCAGCAAGCTACTGGGTTAGCACCTGCAAAACAAAATAAAGGTGAAAGAACCACACAGGACCTAAATTGTTTGGAAAATGTTATGAAATGACCACCCTGCTCTCTCCTGCTCCCTTTCATGTCTCAAAACCCACCTTGGTTTGCTTGCAGTAAGTGCAATTCAGCTGAATTTAAGCCTGCATGGCTGAAATGACTGAAACCCAGGTTGCTTGTGCAGTGGGACCACAACGTCCCCCCTGCAAAGTCAGCAGCTGACAGCACGACCTGGAAAGCAGCTGGAGAAAGCTGGATCTTCTCATAATAAATATTAATAAACACCAGACCCACTCTTTTCTAAACACCAAATGCTTTTCCATCTCTCAGTGCACTCTTTTCCCTCGTTCTGGGCCCAGAAGATGGTGCTGTAGATGGGTTATTTGCTGCCTGGTTTCCTTCCAGAAGAAGCCATCAGGATCCAGCCACTGTGCTCCTGGAGAAACCCACCCCTGCCTCGCTGCAGGGAGGTCCCAGCAGCACACCCTGTGCAGCCTTCTGATCCCTGCTGGTGTCCAAAAGCTCATTTTCCCCATGGCACAAGCCTTTCATTAATTAGAGATAAACATGGTGTTTGTGAGGCAGAGCTGCTGACAGGTAAGAACTGATGCCAGCTGGTCCCAGCTTCCCCCAGTGCCTCCCACTGCTAAGCAGGATTCCTCCTCAAAAAAAGTATTCTTCAGATATTGGAGACAAACCTACAGAGGTGTCCAGCACCTGTAAAACCTCCAGGGATCTCCAGAGCACCGTTGGACCTCAGGCTTGTGCAACCTTCCTTCTCTTTAAAGGCAAAAATAAACTCTTGGCACACTGTGGACCATATAATTAGCTGAAGCAGTAAATTTCCACTTCCCCTGAGGTGCATCAAAACGTGTGTTTAATGAAATCCTCCTTTTCCCTATACCCCTGGCTGGTTTATAGGCTATAAATGATGGATGAGCTTCTGTTTACACACGCAATCTTTTAGCTGTAAAATAAAGACCAGTAATGAAACACTTAGGGCACAGCAGGACACCCGTGCCCCATCCCTGCTGAAATGGGATGCAAGATGCCAACTGGTCCTTTGCTCCCACTGGAAGGGAGGTATTGAGGAGGGAAAAGGGATGGGGAGAGCAGAGGAGCCTCCACCCAACTCCTCCTGTCCCAACACCATGCAGCCTTTGCTTACAGGCCATGAGAAACAGATGGTGCCATCCACCTCTTTTTGAGGAGAGGGGGAAATTAAATATTCAGCCCTGGATCACTATTTTTAGCACTGGAAAGGGATCTCAAGGAAACCTGAGGGGTGAGGGGGGAAAAGGGAAAAGCCAATATTGATAGCTGCCACTGCACCACAGCACTGCAGTGGAACCATCAATAATCTGGTCAGGGAGATACTCTGTGTGTGTGTCTGCTCCTCAACATGAAGATCAATGGATTTTGCTCCAGTTAAGCTCACCCAGCTCCAGACCTCTGCATGCAGCACTTACTGCACACCACAGAGAGGCAGTTTCACTTAGTTAATGCTGATTTTCAAGCAAGGGATTTGGGATGAGCAGGGAGGTGGTGCAGGGCTTCCCACTGGAAGTTTCTGGCTGATACAGATGAGCTGCACACACAGAGCTGTGATTAAAACAAAAATGGCTTGGCAGGAATAACCAGAGTTAGGTCTGGGATTCTTACAGCTCCCCCCAACACTGTAAGCAGGTGAGTTTGGTGTCTGCTTACACTAAGAAAATTCTCCTCTATTTGAAGAAAAGTAGGAATAAACACTGCATACTTCAAAGGGCAAAAATAAAACAATAAACCAACTAAATTTATGGGAGGGGGTGAGAGAATCCAGACCAGATGGCCAAATTAATTTCTGGTTTTTAATGCCCCGTGGGAAGACAACTGGGTCAAATGGTGCCAAATGTGGTGACAGACCCTGTGAAGAGGTAGGAAGTCCTTCCAGAGCACTGCACACCTCTGGAGCTCTCGTCCTGACTGATGGCTGCAGAAGTTTGGAAGCTGTTCATTGCAGCTTTTCTCACCTCAGCCTGACATTTCTGCTACTCCAGGAGGCTGCACCAACTCCACTATTTCTCAAACCAATGAGCTTCCCTCTGGCAAAAACTGACACTCAAACTTGCTACTTTATTTCAAAATGTGTTGAGATTGAGCTCTCCCCATGCAGAACAGGCTTCTGGTGTAACAGCTGAGGATCTGAACAGCCTGATCCCCCAGGCCCTGTCCTTAAACTCCAGGAAGAAAACCCAGTTGAGTCAGACACAAAATTAACTCTCCCTCTCCTGGCTCTTACCTTCCACAAGCAAGCTGCCAAGGAGCTACAGAGCAAAGAGCTTAAACAAGCTCACCCTGACTTGTGGTCACAGACTGGGTTGGGTGGGAAGGGACCTTTCAAGGTCATGGAGTCCAACCCCCTGCAGGGAGCAGGGACATCTGCAAGCAGAGCAGGTAACACTTGGTTAACAGCAGCACCTTAAAGGTATCACTCTGTCAATTTGGAAACAGGGGGGGATGAGAATGTGAGTCTGTGTCTCAGCAATTCTGGCATGAATCTACTTTCCCTGGCAGCTGAGGCACAGCACAGTTTGGGTGGCTCTACTCACAGGCAGAGAGGTGGCCACTGCTGCAGTGGCAGGATGCTTAAAGTGCTGTACCAAAATGTGCTGGAGCTCATCTGTCACTGTCCTCCCCCTCCAACCCAAACAGCCTACTGCAGAACCACAGAATCGTTTAGGTTGCAAAAAACCCTTTGAGATCATCTCAGTCCACCCATAAACCTCATCCAAACCTATAGCTTATTTTCACTTCTCTTCCCTTGCTGCTGCTCTTAAAATGTTACTGATGCAGCTTGTCAGATTTTCTTCAGCCTTGTAGCAGGAGCTAAAGGCTGAGCTGAGAAATACATGAAAGAAGAAGGAAATACTGAAATAAATGAAAGGAGGAGGAAAGACTCTTTAGTGTAAGAGATAAATGGTGCTCTACAGCCAGGTTTATTTTTTTGGTGGTGATGGTGGCTGTTTTCTTTAAGATGGCTTAAGGAGGAAAAAAATTACTATGGAAATCTCACACTGTAGAAAAGAAAACGCAACGTTCAGCACAAACCCAAATAAAGCCTAAGTGAGCATCAAACCTGTTTTAAGGAATAAACACTGAGGCACTGAGCCTTGTCAGCATCCCAATCAAGCAGTGGGATCACCCACACCACCAACGTGCTCCTCCCCAACACCACACAACATCTGTGCTGGGCTTCCACGGCCCGTGACGTGCGAGGAGAGCAACCCACCGAGCGACACGTTGTCTACTCCTCTGCTGTCCCATTGCAGGCTGGAAGCATCCTTCTGCATGGTTCCAGTCAGGAATTGAGGGAAAAGCCCCATATTTGGTGAGAGCACTCACCCATAAGGTGTAGGAGCCCCGTCTGCTGCCTGGGAAGGTCAGCATGCTCTGGTCTGAGGCGGCGACGGACGCCAGGCCGCTGCTCCTGGACGGTGGCCATTCCAAGTCAGCCTCAGCCTGCTCACTTTTGCTCTTCTGCTTCTTTATGATCTGTAAGGAAGAGGGATAGGGGAGTAAAAACAGTGCTTGGAACACACTGTGTGGAGAAAAAGTACCTTAACCCTGTCTGACCCCCTGGTTTTGCAAGGAAACGTGACATCCTAGATGTAAGGGGAATTTCAAGGCTCCTGTGGTATCTAGACACTTTTCTGCTAAAAAAAAAGAAGGAAAAGAGGTCTTAGGCCTCTAGGCACTGGTTTTGTTTTTGAAAATCTACATTGTCTGCAGAGAAGCAGGAGATCATATAGCCTGTGTCCCTATGCTGACAGATTATATCCTGCTACACTTAATTTCCACAAATTCTGACTCCAATTTAAAATATCTGCTGGATATTATTCTGTAGGGTAAAAGACCCTGTTAGGCAGCACTTGAGAAAAGCAGAACAAATTCCAAGCTTGGCTGATATAGGTTCTGGACTATCAAAGACCTGATAAGCAGAATTAATCTTCTAACATTCCTATTAAAAACGAAGGCAAATTATTTTCCATTGAGCTGCTTTTCTTCTGGCTTTTCTTGAGAGGCTTCTGAACAACATGTTCCTCTTCTGGTGTGTTGTTGTTCAATGCCACATCCCATCCACAGATCTTGTATCAGAAATAGTGTGGCTGGCAGGACCAGGGCAGGGACCATTAGTCTCCCCTGTGCACTGGGGAGGCTGCACCTCACATCCTGGGGTCAGTTTTGGGCCCCTCACTCCAAGAAGGAGCTTGAGGGGCTGGAGTGTGGCCAGAGAAGGGCAAC